ATATATATATATATGTATGTATGTATATCTACTGTCTGTCACATTTTATTATCTCTACACTTATTATCTTTTCCTATTCTCTTTTATTTAAGCAGCGTATGTTTTACATTCATTTTGCGCGGTTTACTTTGCCGAGTATCGGGCGGCAATTGATATTTCCGACATTTATACAAGTTGTATAAATGATTAGTCGAGTGGCAGGGAACGAGAAAGCGTAATCGACAAACGCCCGTTAACAGCTGAAAAGACAGTACATCGACAAAGTGGAGTAACGACTAGATAGAAGCTACATTCTCGACGCAGTAGAAGAACCGGAAAGTTTCTATAGCCGTATTTCAAATGTAGAACGAGAACTGCCATAACCCATTGTCTATGTATTAAGATAAAAATAGCTATTACAGATAGAAACTGCGGAGTAATTTGCATGACTTACAAATCAATAAACATAAAAGCGCGGCAGTTAAAAAGCTGAGAAAGATAAAAATCTAATTAAATAATAAATTATTATAGTTTCTTTTATATATATATATATATCTTTTTTAGTCAATATTACTAGAATAGTTAACAATATTAAAATTAATCTCTAATAAATGTAGTATTTATTAAAATATATATATTTCGCAAAATATTTTTTTTTGTAAAAACACACACGCTCAATTATTTTTTAGTCTAGAATTATTAAAGCAACTGATTGTAATGAGGCATTGAAACGCAAAGTTGTGATACTATACGTTAAATGTAGTAGTGAAATAAGCGCCAAAGAAAGATTACCTTATCGTGCGCTTGACGAGAGCACGTGGGGCTTGCTGAGGATCCATGATTATGGTGGTGATGGTGATGATGGTGGTGGTGATGATGATGGAGATGTTCTTGCTGAGGGCGTCTCATCCCACTTTGTCTGCACCGCGACCCGCCGCCGCACTGACAAAAGCGACAAGGAAACTTGTAAGACGTACGATATGCGCTGACGTGTGAGACGACGACCATTTAAAAGCTCGTCATTCACTATCATCATTTTTGTCTTTGAATACAATCCCCGATTGTGGCTTATATCTCACGGTTGAATAGAAAATAAAAGTGACAAATTTTCTAAATGTCGAGGATCGTATTCTTTTGCGATAAAAAAAAGAACGATTAATTTCTTTAAAACTAGAATTATTTATCAAAATCTAGAAAATCAAATTTATCTAAAATCTAGAAACTAAGAAAATTTACCGAAGCAACATAAATATTTCGAAAATTTACTTCTGATATTCGCGTGGTATTGAAATATAAGTAAATAAATATTAAAATAGACAAAAGTGGTTTTTTTAGACAATAAAAATAGTCTGCGAAAATAGAAACAAATTCAGCTAGTTTCTTTTTGACAAAGGATTGAATGCTTTATATCGTTCTAATGCGAGGTAATTGTCGTGTCATTTGCACAATCATGCTGGAGAATAGCACGTCAGTGCACTGACATTGGCAGAACAATCGTGAGGTAATTTCAATATTTTCGCAAGCGATCAATGAGCGGCGGGCGATGAAGAACGCGTATTTTATAACACAGAAAAAGCTCAGCTCAAATAAATGAACCGTAAATGTCGTCGCCCTCGCTCTGTCATCAACATACTTTATTATGATAAAAATAAAATGCTGCGTCCGTAAACTGCGGTTACATTACAGTAGCACAAATGCATATTAATCATCTGAAGTCAGTGTCCTATTCCTCAGAGATAAAATCTTTGAAATTCTTTAAAAAATCGCTTTAACTTTGCTGTCTTGCTTAATTATTCCACGTTATTATAAAACGACGTAATTATAAAAATTTTTTTTTTTAGCTGCGTATTTTATTATGCAAACCGAGCAAGAAATAATTCATCAAAGACGGACGAGTCTTCTCGATGACTAACAAGTTTCTCGGATAGGTAATTGCATTTTTCCACAACATAAGTTTTATGTAGTGACACAAAGCGCGCTATCAAAAATAACTCGCCGACCGTTGCACCGATAACCGATACGCGGTCGATTAATTTACCTTGTCGCTGCTTTTTAGTTGCGAGAGAAAGGTGCGCAATTTCGAGGAACGATTACGAGACGGTTAATGATCGCTGATGATGCTCGTACGCGACTGATCGCACACCCGAGGAAATTTCGCGCGAACGAGATTACTCATGCACTTGCACCAAAATTGTGCCAAAATTTTGCGATTACGTAAACGAGGGGACAAATGCGTCGAAATTCCTGTGTGCACTCCGACATATATGTACAGCTTTAATCCGTTAATCGTCGACACGCCAAATTTATGACGTAAATTGGAACATTATTGCAAAGTGCCGTTTTTTAAATTCCGTTGCAATGTTTGGAACGTTTGCTATTTAAAGCACTGGCGCTTTTTTTACAAAGTTCCTCGATAAAGCCGAAATCTAAAGATAATCTCGGCTTGAAAGAAGATTATCAATCTTGTTTATTTCTATCTCCCTATGTTCTTTTAGAAACAAGAAACTTATTGTAATTTTCATTAAGTTTTTCATTAAATACCTAAACACTATGATATTTTAATCATCTCAAGTATATCGTTGAGTAACCGCAGGATGTTTGATAAAAAAAATGCTAGTAAAAAACGATAATATCATGTTATGTTTGAAGTAAGTATAAGATTTCTTAATATTGTGAACATAAATGTTATGTCCATTTTGATTAAAACTACGTTTTCCTGCTTTACACATTGATTAATAACCAGTGAATATTTGACAATATTAACTGGTAATTTATTTATAATCGCGTTTATAATTCACCACGCTTTTATCAAGCATCCCGAGAACACGCGTGCTATTACAAGGCAATCGTTAAAGAGAAACACTCACAATACACTCTCTCGCAACCCTCCACAGGTTGATGTACACCGAGTTCAGCGTGGCAGCTGTCTCGTCCTGCTCTTCCTTCCCTTCGTCTGGATTCACCGTGAATACGTACTGGTAATGTCGTCTCTTCCGAGTTATGATCTCGTGCTCCTTCGAGCCAGCCGGATCACGGGTTTATACCGAATACCGCGAGTACCGAGTACCGCACGCGATACCATATACACACTTCCTCGTCCGTTTCGTCCGTCGGGACTTTAATTTATCTTGAAAACACTAAAGAGAGAAGTCGTTCTGCTTCGTCTTTGTGATTGGAGGGTAAGGAACGACTCGTGGGGGTGCGTGGTGTATATATGTGTACGTGTGTGTATGTGTGTGCGCCAGAGCGAGAACGATTTCGCCGCAGCGACAGAGAGAGAGAGAGAGAGAGAGAAAGAAAGAAAAGGAGAGAGAGAGAGAGAGACAGACAGAGAGAAAGATGGAAGGGCCGTCGGAGTAGAAGTCCTTCTTGTGTGCACGTGAAAATTTCGAACAACCGAGTCTTTATTTTTACGACGACGGCGACGGCGACGACGACGCCGACGGTAACGACGACGACGACGACGGCGTTAAACGGAGATCGTGCGACTCGACTAGTTCTGGGTTCATGTCCCTATCACGGCACATCGCATCGAGCCCTTTCACTAAGGCGAAGGGCACTGCCTATGGTTGCTTCAGGAAGTGAGTCGACACCAATCGTAGCGTAAGCATCGAGGGTCGGAGCCGAGGGATGAGGTCTAGGTCACCACTCCGCCCCTGGCCCTGGCATGGTCTACGTATCTCCTGCTCGGGCCCTTACTGCGCCCGCTACGCTCTGAAAGCAAAAAATGAAAAGGGTTGTTAAAAAGATTCGCGACTACGCGCGGGGAAGATGCGCAGTGGCATAAAATGTCTCTGGATACATTTTGAGTTATTGGTATGTAAATATTCCTTGTGCAAATACTTATATTTGTGCATTTATTTAAACAAAATATCTTTCACAACACCGTTCATGAAATATTTGTCTTCATATACGAAAATACGCGCCGGGCCGTTTAACTTTTGGGCTTGATATCAATTAGCGCTTTCTGCGCCGCATAATTTGACGTTAACACAGTCGGCTGTACGTGCTATGATAATAGCTCTTAATGCGTGACATATATTTCAAATAATTTATGTCTGTGTAAAGTTTCGGCGCTATTTTTGCGCGCGCAATATATGGCATGCATAACTGCATTATGTATATATTTGACATGCATAATAAGCCATTAACTTGTGAACGCGAACAATTAAATATTTTCGATAAAAAGCAATCTATATAATGCAATGCTTCATTAACAGTCTTTTTCATACAATTTAATATTTACATTTATGTAAATAGTAAAATTTATTCGGCATAAAGAAAATATATACATTAAAATTAAAAATGACAAGGCTCAATAAATAACAAAATTATAAAATGATAGCAGCAAAAGGAGCCGGACCGCTAAGTTTCAGTGCGAACGAACTTGTATTGTGTTATAAAAACCATTAATATACAAACGTTGCAACCTGTCATCAGGCTATTCTCAGTGTCGAATAAATAATTTACCTATGAAAACGCAAGTTGATTATTTACAATAAGATATGGATTCAAACCAAATGTAATTTGTACACAAGATTTGTTGCAGGATTAATGAAAAATGTTAACGTATTTCTTAACTATCATAGTTGTAGTGTCGATATTAACAATCTAACTATTAAACTAGTAACTTATCTTACCGTTCTCTTCCATTTCTTATTTGACAAATCGACGAACATTATTATGGACCACATCACTTTTAATAAGTTAACATTTTTCATTAATCCTGCAACAAATCTTGTGTATAAATTATATTTGGTTTGCCTGATGGCAGGTTCAAACATTCGTACATTAATGGTTTTTATAACACAAGTTCGTTCGCACTAAAATCTAGCGGTCTGGGCTCTTTTTGCTGCTATCGTTTTATAAAATATATACATATAATTAAAAAAATTGTCAAGTTCCTTATAAATGTTCTATATATTACAAAAATATTAAATCGCATTAAAGCATGTTGTAAGAATAATGTAACACTTTATGACGTGGAAGCCATAAGATCGTATCTAATCCGAAACCGGGCGCGTAATACGGCCCAATTTAATTACGCTCTCTAATTCGCTTAGCGTATCCAGTTCCTGCAGATTACGACTACATTTGGGAAATCGTGATCAAGAGGGACATTGAAAAATGCGTTTTGTCGATTTTTGCACCTTCCGATTATAAATTGTTCTTCCGCAACGCAACATATTCAAAGAAATTATTCGCATCGCGCTTTAATAAATTCAGCCTTCTAAATAGCGCTTCCGCCGAGTTAATTAATTTATTAATATATGTGAAGTGAGAATTGCGGATATGTTGATTTTGCAGAGACATTACATAGCGACGAATCGACGTTAATGCATTTTCCAGTAGAGTATATAATTAATCGCGACTATCAGGCTTTACAGTACACACGACAGCTTATGAATTAATTAACGCTCGTATACGAATTTAATCTCATTAATTAATACCATCATTTGTTCATTTACAATGCTCATCATCACATGCAACCTAGCAACAATTACATATGTATACTCTTGAAGACAAATATGAGCCGTTTATTTCTGTACGTTTTATGAGAACAACGAATTCGGCTCAGTTGGAAATCGTAAACTTTAAACTACGCAATTCTATTAGAATATATTATTAATTTGCGTTACAATTTACTAAAAATATAAAAAATTAAATTGTTAATTTATTTTTATGATTACTAGAATATTAATATATTAATATTAGATATCAAATATATATTTAACGTGCCTGTGAGAGATTCAAAAATAAAAATGAGCTTTTCTCGAAAGCTTGAGCTATTGCATTTTTTAAAAAGAATTATTCACAGTTATTTTCTTTTTAAAGGAATTTAAAATTTATTCGCTTTTATCAAGATTTTCAGAAAGACTGATCCACACAACTTTCAAAATAAATCACTCGTATTATATAATACCGCCTTTTATCTCTTTCTCTGTAGCGTTGAAAAAAAGTGAGAAATGTCGCGTAGTTTTTGTTAATCAAGTGAGAATAAAATTCGCGTAAAACCGCTTGACTTTTTCGTGAATCTAAATCGCTTGGTACTTTGATAGCTGCGTTACACGTAAAATAATATTTGCAGGGATATAATATTCATAAACTGTGCAGAAAATGTATAGTTTAGTAGCTGAATTTAGCAACAAAGTTTCACAGTGTTACAAGTGGTATTTAATGATCATTTAAATAATCTACAAATCAAAGTTTAAAACAACAAGCGATAATATCTGTAAAACCTTGCAAATCGCAAATTGTCTATGGATCTTACATAATAACGACAAATACAAAAGTATTCGCAAATTGCAAAAAAGATGCAATACGAAAACACATAAAAGATTACGTCACTCTCAACGTATGCCTCATGTGCTATACTGTTTGGCACGAAACTTCGTGAAATGCGCACTATGTTCCACCGAATTCAGCAAAATTGCGCTTGTATCCGCAGTGCAAAGTTAGCAAAACGTTGTTTGTTCATTCCTTGCTTAATAAAAAATGTCTTCGTGTCAGACAAACAAGATTCTAATTTAAAGACACAGCGAAAATTGATAATCATGATTCCGCAAGTAATCAAGTGTTAGAGTGAAAGAACTGCGTAGTAAACGCTAAATCAATAAATGAGAAATGTGGAAACTGCATTGATTTGTGTTCACAAATTTAGAGACTATTATTTCTTCTATTTCTAATTTTAATTAATTTCTCAGCCAAAATCAAATCTAAAAAATTAATCTTGTGTTCTAAATATTAAGTCTTCTGTATTTTAATATTTTTTATCTATGGATACAATATTCTTTGTATATGCGTCTATTGAATATTATCGACATATGAAACGGGAGACCGGCTCGAGAACAGTGACCTAATGCATCTAGTCCAGTGGAAAGATTCGCACACCGATCGATTCGCTAGCTTGCAAGATATCTGTGCGTGCATCAACTCGGCGGTGCATGCCCGTGTAGTGTGTCTACGATCGATATTTTCCGCGAGGGCAAATGGAATGAGCGTTTAATTTCGTACGGCGGAAGAGCCAGCGTTCCCTCGGCTAATGACGTGCCGATCAAACGAAATGCACCTTCGCGAAACGTCGAGTGCGAGACGCAGGACGTGCACTTGTGTTTGAATTAGTAATACAAATAATTCCTCGTATGTATTTCTCATCAATTTATATAAAAACATCAAAATGTGAAGAAAGAAATGAAATATAAATGCAAGAAATAGAATTAAAAAAAATAAATGTAACGTGTGTCTCGATAACATCTTATAATTCAGAACGGTTCAAATAATTCATAAAAGCTAAAACATGAAGCAAACTTTGCGCATTGCGAAGAACAAACATAACTTAAGATTTTACAAGTTACGAGCATTTTAAGCAAAATTTGCAAATCGTCGAAAATAAGAAAACAAATAAATCTTGTAAGATATAAAAGAAAATAAGAGAAAAATATTTTCAAACCAACTGCTAATTATAAATTAATGAATTCTAATTCTGGACGCCTCATATATTGTGTATATATATATATATATATAATATATCTCTTGAAAACTCTTTTGCGTATCGCAATTCTTATATCTGTTCCATCCTTTTCTTCGCGTTCTTCATATCTTATCTTCATATTTCGTTTTTATAGTTCATTGTGTCTCGACCCTTGCACCTGCGCCTCGATGGGAGGTAGCGCTTTGCGCTTAGCAACAACCGCACGTTTTTATGTAACCACCGAGAAGAAATCGAATTCCGTCAGCCCGACACAACGTGTCCGTTGTTGTGCGCCTATATTTTTTAATGCAATTTTTTTCTATATAAAAAAAAGAGGCTTTGCTTCAAGAAGAGATTTTTTCCCCCTTAGTTACATCAAATGTATATCGAGATACTTCATATCTGTCTTTAAACGATACCTTACAGCACGGCACGGGGTTAACGGACGTTATATCGAGGTCACTTACAGCTACGCGCGACGAAACGCAATCTCGATGCATCGACAAGTGCGACATAACGATCCGCGACCACTTCCGCTCGCGCGTTTCACTCGACGCGTTTTATCATTGCCACATTACGCAACGATAGCAAGAGAAGCGTTCCTTTTTCTTCTAGATCGCTATCTCGACACTAATATACGCACATCCGGATTGATTTACTTTCAGCTCGATCGCGAAGAAAACGTTATCGGTTATTCAGATCCAATTGCATCATCTCTGTTTAAAATTTATCTTCTACTTTTATTGCAAAATACTGGAAATTAATATAGACAATTTTTTCCAGATTATATATAGCTCTGTACGTAACGAAATAAATACACTGTTATTTTATAATATATTATACAGCTCTATTCACAATATCGATAAAATAGCGCAGAAATGTGCCACATTGGTTGATTCAATTTTAAATCTACATCACTTTCATGTCTGCATGACCCTTTTGCACTTAACACAATTTCGGCGTTTTGCGCAGTTGTCGATACCAAATGTCATTTGTAGTGGTGAATTAGTTTTTTCCGATACCGCATTTAACAAAAATAGTCGCTAAATTATCCACGATCAATGGTGAAAGAAGGTCGCTAATTGTGGAAAAAGTTAATTGTAATTACGCAAAGCTGCGTCACTTGACTCGGATAGTAAACAGGGGCAGAAACTACTCTCTGAAAATTACGTCCGAAAACACCGCTCTACAAAGAAGTATCTGGCTTAAAAGAATTTCGTAGATTAATTTTGGAGTATATATA